CCGGCCTGCTGGGCGCGCTGCGCGCCACTGCCGCACAGCTGGTGGCCGAGGCGGTGGGCCCCGGGGGGGACTCTGCCGACGAGGGCGCCGGCGTGAGGCCGAGGTCCGGAGGCGCCCGCGAGGCCCTGACCCTGGACCAGAGCCTGTACGTCTACGGCGGCAGCCAGGCGCGGGAGGAGCTGCAGGAGCTGGGTGCCGAGTGCTCGCGGCTCGGACACCGAGTCTGCGCCGCAGAGCAGGACCCCGTGCGCCGCGCCGCGCTGGAGGACGCGCTGCGCACGCTGGCCGAGGCGCTGGGGAGTCTGGATGAGGGAGCAGGAGCGGGTGTTGGAGGTGCCGAAGCGGGCGGCGATGCGGGGGCGAGGGGAAGCGAGGAGCTCGCGAGGGACGGCGCGGCTTCGACCCAGCCACCGGGGTCGCGGAGGGCCCCGCCCCCACGCAGCGCGGCGCTGGAGCGGGGGCACGCGGTGGTGCGCGATGTCGCCGAGGAGGCGGTGGAAAGCGCGGAGTCGCTGGGGGCCAGGGCCGACGTCCTGCCCGCAGGTGGGTGTGGTGCGCGGCCAGGGGTTTTTCCGTCCCTTTGCCAAAGGGGGAAAGGGGTGTAGAGGTGTGAAGTATGGCATGGACATGGGTCGACTTGTGGGTGAAAGCTGCTCAGATGAGGAGGTCCGCCTCCGACCCACCCTCCCCCAACCCCTCCACCCCAACCAGGGACGAAGCACCTGGCGGAGGTGGCAAGCCTGGGCATGGAGCGCACGCTTTCTTTGGCGCGCAGCGTGCTGCACAGCGCGCGCTCCGCCCGCCCCAGCGACGACCGCATTTCTTGGCCCAGCGAAGCGCCGGCCGTGGCGCGGGTCCTGCGCGGCGAGGCGGCCTGCGCGCTGCGCGAGCTGGGAAGCGTGGAGGCGGCGCTCCTGGCCGCGCTGGACCGGCTGCGGGGGGATGGCGGTGGTGAGGTGGCGCACGATGACGGTGAGGCGGCGAGGGGTCGAGGGAGGGGGGTCCATCCTGATGCTGGGATTGGCGATCGGCGTTCCTTTGTTTGGGAAGCGCGTCGCTTGCATCTGGAGGAAGACCCGAGGGGTACTTGTGGCCGGGAAAGTGCAGCTGCTCCTCAGCCTGAAGGCATGCATTCTCATGTGCCCCCGCACCCGCCCACACGCAGACGCCGAGAGGCGCGAGCTTATGCGGCTGGCGGAGGAGTGCCGGGCGGCGATGGCGGCCTGCCTTGCCCTCAGCACCCCCCTGGTCTGGTGGTCCTGCTGCGCCTCCCGGGCCGGCCCCGCGGCGGAGCCGCGATGACACCCCATGTCAGCCGAGGCACCCACTGGCAGCATAATTCACACCCTCGCGACCCTCTTGCTCTGCACCCTGCACGCAACAGTCCCACCCATGGCCATGCCTCTCGAACAGTCAGGGTCCAGAGCGACCCTCAGCCCTTGCTCGTACAAAATGTGTTCACATACAGAGTAGAAAGGGTAGATACTGGGGCACGGAGAGGGAGCCAAAATACACATGCGTTGTTCCAAGCGTGTTCATAGGGGGCTGGGGTGCAGTCTCGGCCGTCGGTCAAAAGGCGCCAGCCAGCCAGCAGATGGATGGGACCGGCAAGCAGGGAGACAGAGGCTGGACCCTCACAGACAGATCCATGAGCGCTGGGCGATGGGGAGCTGCGGCATGCGGCGCATCCCGTCCCCACACAAAAGGAAGGGGACGCAACCCATGGCGGTGAGGGGTTTCGGCGCAGCAGGGCGGCAAGGGGTGTGGGGTTCTATGGGCGTGGGGTTCTATGGGCGTGGGGTTCGTCACAGGTTCGCTGGTCAGCAATGGTCAGCCTGCCTCCTGGGGAAGGTAGGTGCACAAGGGGCAAGGGGGGTTCGCGGGGTGCCCGGCGCCGCGGCGCCGCCGCCGCCGCTCCCCCCCCAGCTCCCAGGCTCTCAGCCCGAGGGCCCGCTGGCCGCCTGCACCGCTGCGTCAGAGATGACGCGGGAGTAGAGCAGGAGGTTGGCCGTGGAGGCCGGCAGCGCGTCGGCCCCGATCTTGCCCTGGCTGGCGGCGCCCAGGATGGCGCTGGACACGTCGGCGGGGGTGGACTGCGGGTAGGACTCCAGGTACACCGCGGCGACGCCCGCCACGTGGGGCACGGCCATGGAGGTCCCCGAGGCGTAGGTGTAGGCGGCGTCGTCCACCACCGCGCAGCGCGAGGAGCCGCCGCAAGCGGAGTAGATGTTGACCCCGGGCGCAAACAGCTTGATGCAGGGGCCCGAGTTGCTCCACTTGTACACGCCGTCCGGCTCCCCCGCCCCCGAGCCGTTGTACTTGGTGGCCAGGTCCGAGGCCGCAACGGTGAGCGCGGCGGGGACGTTAGCGGGCGCGACATAGCACGCGTCCACGCCCGAGTTCCCCGCCGCCACCACCACGGTGATGCCGTGGGTGTTGACCAGCGCGGCCACGGCGTCCTCCAGCACGCGCGACCAGGACCCCACCTGGATGCCCAGGGACAGGGTGACCACGGCGGGCGCGGCGTGGTTGGCCGCCACCCAGTCCAGCGCCGCCACGGTGTTGGAGATGGTGCCGCTGCCCTCGCAGTCCAGGATGCGCACCGACACCACCGACGCAGCCTTGGCCACGCCTACCGTCAGGCCGATGGCGGTCGCGGCGACGTGCGTGCCGTGCCCGTCGCAGTCGTCGCAGTTGTCGTCGTTGTCCACAAAGTCGTAGCCGTAGGCGGCGCGGGACGCGCCGCCCCCCCACCGCGCAAACTCCTGGTGGTCCTTCTTGATGCCGGAGTCGACGACGTAGATGGTGGTGCCGTTGCCGGTGCCAGTGGTGCCGGCGGTACCATACCGATACTTGCCATCCAGGGGCGGGTCACGCTGGTCCAGCCGGTCCAGGTTCCACATCTTGGTGCCCAGCACCTCCGTCTTCTCGCCGGGGGCGGCCATGGCGGGGCCGCCGGTCACGCCCGCCGCGTCCACGGGCGCGCCCTCCGTGCCGTCTGTCTTCACCGACTCCTCGAAGGAGTGCAGGGTGGGGAGGGGGGAGGCACCGCCCAAACCCTGCTGCATGCGTCGGCGGCCGCCGAGCGCGCCGCGGCCGGCCTGCTCCCGCCGCTCCTCCAGGGGGCGGGGGCGCCAGAAGGCGTCGTCCTCCGCCTTGTGCACGATCTGGTTCTCCTCCTTGTAGTAGAGCTGCGCGTGGTTGTCGAGGGGTGGGAGGGGGGGGTGGAAAAGCAGGCTTCCAGACGATGCAGAAACAAACTGCTCCTCCAAAAGTGCACGAATCCAATCTCACAGATGCGTCTGAGACTTCTGTCGTCCTCAGGGGGCCCCAAAGGGCGCCATGGAGAGTAATAGCCTCCAAGTGCAACGAGGCATGCGCGCCCACATATTTGCATGGCAACATTTGTGCCCGTGCTCTCTTTCCTCCCAACTCACCGCGCCAGGGAGGCACGTCTGCAGCTTCTGGAGCTCCGCTTCTGTCACCTTGCCGCTGAAGCCTGCGCAGCAGGCACGAGGCAGACCAGGTGTGCGACTACAGCAAAGATGCTTCCCGCACTGCAGTCTCCTGAATGGGCACTGCGCAGCAGCCAATGCCCGAGGATACCTTGGAAAGGTCGTGATACCCATCCACCAGCCACTCTTGAATAGATTGCTCACCGAAAATCGTGTTGGAAAACACGTGCTGGCACAGCCCAGGCATGTGGCATTCGGTAGACAGTCCAAACACAGGGGCCAGCATCTTAAATCGCAGGGGCGATGCCCCGCACATTAGGTTCAATTTTGGGATGTAGAATATATCCTGTAGGAAGAAAAGGGGGGAGGGGCAGTGGATTGTAAGACCTGCTGGGCATAACCATGAGTGCGTAGGTCGGGGGGGCGGGAGCTGCTCAAGAACATGGGGTATCCAGCAGCAGGCGCGACAACCGGGAACGTGCATGCTGCCGCCCACCCGCCGCCGTTCTGACCCATTGAATGTACACTCCATCTCACCTCGAACACGACGATGAGGTCTGTCGTGGCGTTGGCCTCCGACGGGGCCGGGGCAGGCGACGGTGAAGGGGGGGGGGTCCCGAAACCAAACCACTCCGTTCCCCAGCCGCTGGACGGCGCACCGGTCGCACATCCAGCCAACATGCAGCATGCTAGCAGGAAAACACATGCGTGCCTCATGCCGCCCTATTCCAGGCACTTGGCTGCACAGATTCCGGGTCCCGCGCGGAAGGTGGGACTCAAGCTGTCGCGCAACGGTGCGTCAGGACGCGGGCACGGGCCCTCGTGCGCCAAAGAAGATTTTAAACGGCTCCAACCGACATTACAGTCCGAGTGAGCTGGAGACAAGATCCTCAGCGTGGTACTTGAAGAGGGAGGGGCCCGAGAGAAGCCACACGACACGGCAGCACCGGGCGGGAACCAGGTCCTGTCCGCACGGAGGGCTGCAGAAGGTGTAAAATTGTAATGCAGCTTTTCTATGATGAAAGTGGGTAAGAGGGGTCCCCGTACTGGCGATGGGCCGAGTGGAACGCGCTGCACTCTCGTCACACGAGTGTGGCTAATCGACCCCGTGCCATGACACCAGGACCCGACGGATCGCCCGCTGCTACCATGTGGAGGAGGTGCGCAGGACCGCGGAGCTGAGTAGGTAGCTAGCTGCTCGTAATCTGAATTTAAACAAGGGCTTGAAAGAAGGTCCATTGAAGACGGTAGCATGCACCTTCCGGCAACGTCATTCTTGAGGTTTTGGGGGCCGGGTCGCGTGAGTGCGTGCGCGCGGAATGGTGTCTGGCCACTATCTTGCATTGATGAAGGCAACAAGTATTTTTCAGTCCCAGCGACCGTTTTGAATGGCTGACAGCAGTGAGTACGATGCTGAGTTACCGCGGTGATCCAGGCCGCTGCTCTGCAGCGTTCATCGAGACTGTTTCGGCTATCGAGCGGGACCCGGCAGCATTGTCACATCAATCTCGAATGTTATGAATAACATTGCTTCCACATCATATTTGATCGATGTCTCTTATTCATGAGTGAAGAGTACCTCACCTCCACCCGAGAGTAGTGTGCCGCTTGACAATCACTTTGGGCCGCGCGGCCTGTGTATGGCGAAAGTGCTGTGAGAAGGCTCACATTCACGGTCCCAAAGAGACGAATCTGGGCAATGCAGGCTCAAATCTCTATCAGAGCGCTTGGCTTCGCATAAGAGCACCGAACCAGGAACCTTACAATGTTGAAATTTGGTATACAAGGAGATCCAGTCTCTATAGAAACCCTGGAGGATGACAAATGGTTTGCTGTTCTTTTCTGAAACTCATGTATTGCGGGCCTATGCTGCCACACCCGAACATAAATCAGGACTCTGACTATCCAGTGCCATCCGAGAAACTCCTTTTCCCTGCCGCCCCACTAGAACGTCAGTCTTCCTTTGATGTCAACTCTGTCCGCTGGGTGGCTGCTGCTTGAAGCACCGTGACTCCTGCAAGCATACATCACGAGTTCACATCAGCATGGATAGCACGAGTCTGATCAACGGCAATCAAATGCATACATTGGGACGCACATCCTTCCCAGGAGCAATGGACCCCCCTCTCCTACCTAGTAGCATGATGCTGGCTCCAGCCCACCACCATGCTCGCAAAGGCTCCCCAAAGACGGCTCGCCCCAGAATTCCGCTGAACACCATGTTGGCGGCAGTACTGGCTGCCGTGGCAAACAAGGAGGAGGTGTGGGCTAGGGTCCGATGGAAGAGGGCCAGTCCGAGGATGTTGCACTGCGTGTAGGTTGGGAAGTGCCAATGTTACTACGTCCTTGCAGCATGCCTGGGAGTCCCCAATATTTGCTTGAACGACACACCAGGTGTGTGCAGCCCTGCACACATCTCAAATTGCCGGATTCCACCATTTGAATCCACGCACCAGTACAAGGCCAACATAGCAGAGCACCACCAGGATGACATTCAGTTCGGGCCTGCCAGCGAGCTTGCCGAACACTGGTCCGAGTGCTCCCAGCGCCCCTCCCGACCCTATTGCCAGCAGGGCGGCAGCCTCATGCCTGACATTCAACGCTCCAAGGCGGGGCATCTCCCATGCGCGATGCTGATCGGGACTGAATGCCAAAGATATCCGCAATCGCTGGTTCTATAACCCCCACGATCACTGGGTCATCGACCGACACCACTCGAATATTGCAACACCTTTGCTACTCTCTGCTCATACCCGGAACATTCTTTCCAGTCCACGCTTTACAATACATCAAATCATCCAGGCAGCTGGAACAACATCCTGGAGGCGCCACCCTCCCCGCCGGGCAGGTACGTGACATTCCGGGACTTGGCGAGGGTCCCCGCCACGTCACGGGCGGCCTCGATGCGGCGCAGCTCAATCATGCCAGCCCCCGCAGCCCGGGTGGCCTCAGAAATGAGTCGAGCAGCCTCGGACTCTCCCTCCGCCCTCACCACTGCCGCCTTGCGCTCCTGGAGGAGATTCGGTGGGTGTAAGGGGGTTGGGGTGAGCACAAGTTGCCGGAGGCATCTGGTACCTGGAGGGGCAGCAGCAGCCCCTGCTCCAAATTGTGATGTGCCTTGCGCAGCCGCCTGGGTCTCTGACCTACCGCCGCCAGCAAGCAGCTAGACCTTCAGGCGCGAGGTCTCACCTGGTCGGCCTTCATGACAACAAACCGGGCGCGCTCAGCCTCCTGCTGGGCCACCTGCTTGGACTCCACAGCCTTGGTGAACTGCGAGGGCGAGCAGGCAGCGGGAGAACAGGTGGGTGGGTGTGTTTGCGAAAGGGTTTGAGATCACCTCATCCACGCCTCACGACATGGTAGGGCGCCGCACGTGCAGGCAGGCAGGGTCCAGGCGCGATGTCCCTCCATCCTGCCGCCCCGCCTCACCTCGGCGCCAAAGGACAGGTGGGTGATGGCCACATCGTCAATGAGGATGTTGAACTCCGCGGCGCGGCGCGTGAGCTCGCTGCGCACCGCGGTGGATACCTGGGGAGGTGGAAACGGTGGGAGATGGGGGTTGAGCTAGGCGCACATGGGTCTGTCTGCCTCATTCCTGGAGTTCTGTCCCGCCCGCACAGACAGATGCATTTCTGGTTCCACACCTGGTACCTACAATCCCGCATCGCCATGCCCAGTCGCACCTTGTCACGCTGAGTCAGCAGCTGCTCGGCCTGGTACTGCGCCACCACAGACTTGAGCACCTCATTGCCGATGGACGGCAGCACACGCTCATCCCAGTCGAGGCCCAGGTTCTGGAAAGGGATGGTGTGATGAACGAGTGAACCAAGCATTCAGTTGTTAACAACAGAAATGAAAGGTGGGGCTTGTGGACCATCAGAGACATGTCTTCCCATGCAGGACTCGGCGTCTGACACGCAGATCTGCAGCCCTAAGACGGTGGAAACGGCTGTGCCTTTCCTATCCCCAAACCAGCGCATGTCTCGCCCACCCTGAATGTGAGTGCCAGTCTCTCGACATCCGGCTTGGAAAGCACACGTAGGGTAATGTTGACCATCTGGAGATCTGCGTACGGTCACGGATGGGGCGCATGGCAGGAGAGGTGAGGATGCGGGTTCTTAATGACACCGACTGTCTGCTGTCCGCACAGGCGCCACTGTGAATAGGTTTGGCAAAGGCACCCCTCGGTAGCCTCCGACAAAACTCCTCACCCTTGGTCCCGGTCACGGAGCTGATGGAGCGGGGCCGGGTGCGGATGTCCATGACGTTGGGCGTCTGGAGGTAGGGCACGCGGAAATGGGTGCCCTCACTCACGGGAGTCTCCAGCACTCCCGACACGCGGTCGAACATGATGGCCCGCTCGCCGCCATCGACTGCAGGGGAGGTAATTGCGACGTTTTTCCAATGCATGCATGCAGGGGGATGCAGGGCACCCACACTCGCTTCACTCCGGGAGAGAAGCATCAACCCGGGCAGGCGTCACTCACCGGTGTACAGGGAGGCCTGCAGAGCGCTGGCGCCGATTCCCAGTCCCACGGAGTAGCGTGCAACCTTGGAGAGGATGTTGGCCAAGGCCTTCGCGGCCTGCTGCTGAGCCATGGTGACAAACTCCCGAGGACTCTTCTAGGCGTTGAGCCAACGGTGCCACTCCCTGACGATCCCTCGCTGATTTGATGGGGTATGACAAGAATCGATGATAATGCGGGGGATAGGCGTCACAACTGGGGCCTCCCGGTCCAGCGTGTGGGCGCCGAGATGACGGTGGCTTTCCACCAGGCGTGATTCACCCCCACGACATCGGCTCTAGGCTGGGGTTGAGGGGCCTGGATGAAGTAGTTGCAGAGCTGACATTGCAGCAAGTGCGCTCTGTGATTCCTTTGGAACTCTGTGTTATAAGTAAGGACGATCAAGCCTTCAGAGCGTGCCTTAAGCTGCGGCCCCCACACTGAGTTTGGCAATGGCCCCATAGAGCTGCCCTGCGACACGGACCTGGCATGGTACGTACCCTACTGGAACTCATTTGGACGCCCAGATTCTGTAGCCCTAAGCTGTGCATCGCTCCTCCGCGCAGGGCCAGACCCACGGCAAGGGCCCACGCACGGTGTCGGATGGGGACGGGTACCCCGTCCCGGGCTCCCCTTCCCCCTCCGCCTTCTCCCCCGGCTCCCCCCTGACCTACAGTCCCCAGATGCCCATGGAGCCCTTTTCCTCTCGCTCCGAAACGCATCGCTCCGCCATCCCCCAGGCGGAGTTCGAGGGTTGGGCTGCCCACCCCAGGGTGGTACCCACCGTCATCGCATGTGCGCGCGGTGGTCGGGGTAATGGGGCTGTGCCCTGTCTCTAGGGACCTGACGGGGTGTTCGCTGACGTGGTATTCGGCCCCCAGCCGCAATTAAAGGGCCTTCCCTTTGGACTCCCTGGACCGCAGGGACGCATGGCGGCAGCCACGTGGAGCTGGAGGGGAGCTGGGACAACTGGTCGCAGCGCCACGTCATGCAGGCCTCCGGCAAGGACTACACCCTGGTGAAGCTGCTGACGCCGGGCATCTACCAGGTGCGGCACCGAGCAGGCTGCGGGGAGGAACCGGGGGTGGGCCTGGGTGTGGGTGTGAGGGTGACCCCTGATCAGCCCCTCCTCCCATCTCACGGCCCGACCGGCCCCCTCCCTGTCCCTTCATCCCCACAGTACAAGTTCATCGTGGACGGCATGTGGCGGCACGACCCCAACCTGTCGTCCATGTTTGATGAGGTGGGCAACATCAACAACGTGCTGGAGGTGCAGGAGTACGTGCCCGAGAACCTGGACTCGCTGAGCGGGTTCGAGCCGCCGCCCTCGCCGCCCTCGTCCTACGCCTCCCCCGCCCCCGCCCCCGAGGATACGGCCAAGGAGCCGCCGGCCATGCCGCCCCAGCTCCAGCTCAGCCTGCTCAACGTGCCCCCGGCCCTGGACGCCATCGCCGCGCTGCCCCGGCCCCAGCACGTGGTGCTGAACCACCTCTACCTCCAGCGCGCCTCCACCAGCACCAACGCGCTGGTGCTGGGCGCCACGCGCCGCTACCGCGCCAAGTATGTCACCGTCGTCGTGTACAAGCCGCGGCGCCGGCGGCGGCCGGAGGGCTTCGGCGCGGGGACGGGGCACCCCGCCGGCACGGCGGCCGCTGCCAGGCACGGGCGCGGAACCTCGGCGCCCATGGACGTCTCCTCCCCAGCTGCCTCGGGCGTGCACCAGGGGGAGCCGGCATTGCGCCACCCCTCAGGCGGCTACTCCCCGCACGACCACGCCTCCAGCTACCAGGTCCCCGGCTTCTGAGGAGGAGGGACGGCGAGGTGGCGGGGAGGCGGACTGGGATGGGAATCCTCCGACTCAAGGGTGCAGCCGTGCTCAGGCGGCGGTGGAGGTTCCCCTTTGCAGTCCAGGATGCGACCTGACCCAAGCCCTGCCTGCTGGCAGGCAGGCTAGGACCGCGTTCCAGGCTGCGCGCTCTAGTGCCATGTACATGTGCGCTGCTGTGCTCATGGAGGGTCAATATTTACACCCAGGCAGTGTAAGAGCACAGCGCACTGAGCTCAGTGGTGAGGATTGTGCACTGACTGCAGGTCACATCAGGGAGCTGTCAGGAGGGTAGGGGTGGAGATCCCGGCTCCAGGGAGGTCTCCCAGTCCCCATTGCTTGAAGGCCACCACCGCCCGCCCACTCTCAGTCAGTCCTCGTCGGAGGAGCTGTCGCCGCCCCCCAGCGCATCGTCTTCCTCGTCCACGTCCCACTGCGGCCCCACCAGCCCGCTCCGCGACCCGGCCCGGCCCTCGGGCGCGCCAAACGCGCTGCGCACCGCCCACTCCGCCTGGTAGAACTTGACCACCTGGCTGAGTAGGTCGCGCACCATGTTCAGCCGGACCATGGCGTCCTCCTGCTGCAGCACAATCTGCTGCTGATCCGGGAAGGCAGGAAATAGGGAGGCCACCCACAGGGACAGCGAGGCGGGGCTCAGCGTGCACAGCTTGAGCAGCAGCTCCTGGGTTTGGTGGGAGGGGGAAACGAGGGGGGTGGGGTTTGGAGGGTTGAGCATCAGAGAAAGCGTGCATGGACCCCCCTCCTGAGGGATCATTGTGCTCCCCCTCTCTGCAGTTTCAGGGGGTCGTGCAAACAATTTACCCAGCCATGCGTCTGCCATTGTGCCCAACCCTCCTGCTCACATCTGGTATCCGGATGGTCCCCAGCTTGCCGCCCAGCTCAGACATGGACTTGAAGAGGTCCACCACATCCTTTGCAGCGCTGGCTGCCTGCTGATGCGGGGGTGGGCAGGGGTCTGCTGGTGCACGATCTGCCCGTCAAGCAACTGTTACCATGCCCTGGCTGACGGCCTGCAATCCTCCACGAGACCCACGTGCACTCACCGCATCCGAGTTGACCTCCTCCTCTGCAAAGTACTCTACTTCACAGACGATGACGGGCTGCTGCTGGACGACCTTCAAGATCTTGAAGCGCTGGCGCCCTGGTGCAGTATCCGGGTGGTGGGGAGGGGCTGAGCCATCACTTGATCGAGGCAGAAGTCCCATGTGGCATGCAGGCGGCCCAAGAATCCGCTAGCCTCAGCAGATGCCATGCATAGGAGTCATGTGCACAGCCTTTGCATAGCAAGACCCGACCCCTCACCCTTTGTGCTGATCAGGATGCGGCCGTCGTCCAGCCGGCGGTGCCGAGTAATCTCCAGCAGCGTTCCCACGGAAGATATGCCATCCTCAAGGACAAAGGTGGTTCCGAATCGACGGGTGCCCACCCATGGCTTGTCCTCTGAGATAAGTCCCTCCTCTAGTCTGCAGCCAAGGAGGGTTCACAGAGTTAGTGGAAATAAAGCATGAAGTATGGCTGATGAAAGCCTGGATGTTGTGGGGCGGTGCGAAACCCCCCCCCCCTTCTCATGGGAACTTCAGGACTGGTCATAAGTGACACTTGCAAAGGCAGGGACATGGCCAGCATGGATGGCTCAGACGATGCTCACCCATCTGCCCCGGCAAGAAGGGTCGAGAACAGGACCCTGTATCGGGCCTCGAAGATCTGGAGGGGCAGGGCCGTCTCTGGGAAGGTCACCTTCCTCAAAGGGAAAATGGGCAGGGATTCCCTGCGTGTCGCTCTTGTCGGTGATGGGAAGGATCTACCATACCGTCTCAATGTCCGCGCCGGTCGAGGGCCGAGGCCACAGGCTGGAAGTCTGGGTGACGGCACCCGAAACGATGTCCCTGCTGCCATCATGGTGTGGCCATCCGCCGGCACCCCCTCCACAGAGATCTAGGGGCCGCTTCCCTTTTGAGCAATATGTCGCGATCAGACCGTCTCCTGCAGAATTTCTTTCACAGGGATGCATGCAACCGGCTTGAGCTCCGCAGGTGGGCCCGCCATGAAAGGGGTGGTGATGAGATGCGGGCCACCCCCTCCATGGCGAGGAGGAAACGGGGATCCATGTCGTGGAGCCGATACGAATGAGGGTCCAGGGCCGAGCCCTACCACCTCAAGCAGCAGAGTCGACCCTTCAAAAGGTCCTTTTGTCTCTGTGCACCCCAGTCGGGGTTTCAGAGAGCCGCACTGACGGGGAGGCGCAGCCCTGCCCTCCGCGCCTGCGCCGACAGTGGGTGCCACAGCCCTGAGCACCCTGCCCTGGCTCCCGGCAACAACTGCCCGCCCTAAAGACTCCGTCCCGCGGGGGATACGGAACCATGGATAGGGTCGGGTGGAGAGCAGGAAGCTGCGCTCAGGGCCAGGGCTTGTGGAGAGCGAGACTGGGCACGGTTCCCAGGGCGCACCACCCCCACCTCCATGGCTCCAGCCCAGGCAGAGCCGGTACGCCGCATGGGCATGCGGGGATAACATGAATATATAATGACTCAGAAATGTGCATGGATCCCTGCGCTGCCTGCCCGTTGAACACCTTTCCCATCCGTCTACCCAGGTGTTTTTTTTCCACACAGCCAGCTGCCACGGCAGGGGCTGGCTTGGGCACGGGGCGGCAAGGTTTCCTCCACCCATGGCAGCGCGCCGGGAGGTGCCGACCACGATGCACCATCCGACCCCAGGGGCCCTTCCATTGAACCGTCTGCGGAGGAGCAGCCTGGAGCCCCCGACACGAAGACTACCAGCCAGGAGCCTGGGGCCGCCCGGCCGACGATGCGCCGGCGGCGGCGGCCCTCCACCCTGGCCCGGGTGCTACTCCAGTTCCCCCTGGAGCTGAGCTCCATCCTGTCCAAGGAGGATGCGCACTACCTGGAGAAGCGCGCGCGGCGGCGGTGGTGGAGCCGGCGCTCCTTCCCCCGCGTCCCCACCGACACGCTGGAGGTGGCGCATCGCACGCCCCCCCCCCCCTGGCCGTCTGGCAGAAGGTGCTGCCCCTCGGCGCCATCTTCTTCGCCGCCTCCTTCAACCTCACCATCCTGGCCAACCTGAAGGACGCCATCATGGTGACCACGGCGGGCGCGGAGACGCTGCCCTGGCTGGCCTCCTGCGGCATCCTCCCCGCCTCCGTCGCCTTCTTCGTTGCCTACGGCACCATGGTGGAGCGCTTGCCCCAGCGCGCCGTCTTCTACGCCGCCGTGGCCCCGCTCCTGGCCGCCTATGCGCTGTTCGCCGGCGCGCTCTACCCCGCGCACGCTTACCTCCACCCCGTCGGCCTTACCGCCGCGCTGGCCGGGGCAACGCCCCCGGGCCTGCACGGCGCGCTCAAGATGGTGGAGCACTGGACCTTCTCGCTTTTCTACTGTGCCGCGGAGCTCTGGGGCTCCGTCGTCATCTCCATCCTCTTCTGGAGCTTGGCCAATGAGGTCTGCACCGTGAACGAGGCCAAGGCCGTGTACCCCCTCATGGGCATCGCCGCCAATGTGGCGCTGGTCATCGCTGGGTCCTACCTCAAGTGGGTCAACGCCAGCGTCGCCCACGGCAACACCCAGGTGGGTGGTTGGGGAGGGGCGTCGTGTGATGGGGGAGCAAGCACAGGAAGTGGGGGTCCCAAGAGCAGGGTCCAAGTGGAGTGGAGTGTGGGATGGGATCATGGGAAGGGAGAAGCCTCGACGCAGTGCAGCCCGGGCCAGGCAATGAGCTGGGGCAGCGCGGTTGAGAGGTTGGCAGTCTCAATCTACAGACACTCCCACAACCCCTTCCTCATTTCCCCATGTAGCTCATGCTGAATGTGCTGGTGGGCACTGTCATTGCCATGTCTGGCGTCATGGCCGTTGCCAAGTTTGTTATTGATACGTGAGTGCCTGGGCTCGATTCCTGGTCTTGTCGGTGTGTTTGTGAGTGGGGCTTGGGCATGGACCATAGCGATAGCCATCTTTTCACGGATGTCATGCCAGCCAGTGAATGGCTCCCATTTGCCTTGGGAGGCCTGCCTCATGAAATACACTGCACACCCCCTGCCATGTAAGCTCATGCCATGCTGTCCACCCTCCTTCCTACCAGGTATGTGGTGGGTCCCTACTGCAGCCTCGACGAGCGCTCCAGCCCCAAGGTGCTTAAGAAGAAGAAGAAAAACAAGGGGTCGCTGGCCAACAGCCTTTCAGGTAGGGGGGGTGGTGTTCTGGCAGGATGGCGGCCGATGTGCAAGGGTCTGCCATGGTGGATTTGCCATGCTCTCCCGGCTCCTATTACAAGCTCCGACCTCCCCCCCGTCCACCCTTACCCGGCCTTTCCCTGCAGTGCTGAAGGAGTCGCCCAAGGTCCGGAACCTGGCGATGCTGGTGGTCAGCTATAGCGTCTCCCACCGCCTGTTTGAGTTCGCATGGAAGGGAGCGCTGCGCACGCTGCACCCCACTCCCGGCGCCTACCAGTCGGTGCTGGCCGACGTGGCCATCGCCACAGGCTATGCCACCATCGCCCTCATGCTGCTCAGCCGCTACGTGTTTCAGTACGCGGGCTGGGCGGCGGCCGCAGCCGCCACGCCCACCGTCATGCTCGTCACCGGCGGCGCCTTCTTCGGCCTGTCCATCGCGGCGGGGGCGGGGCTCACGCTTGGCTCCCTGGGGCCCCTCCAGCTGGCGGCGCTGGGGGTGGGCACGGGGGTGGCAACCCAGGTATGTGGTGGGGGGGTCATGTCAAGAATGGGGCGGGACTTTGGGCTGATCATGTGCAGCATGTGTGCTTGGAGGGGTGCTGATGAGGCTGTCGCAGAGGGCTCCAGGCTGCTCCAACTGTCTCTGGACAGCTTCAAGCCCACTCTGTTTGTCGGCCCCGCATATGGCCTGGTCCCACCCGCCCATTACCTGAGATGCACACTCTCACCCCGCCCTAGGTCTTCGCGCGGTCGGCCAAGTTCAGCTTGTTTGATCCGGCCAAAGAGATGGTGTACATTGAGATGACGCCGGAGGAGAAGTCCAAGGGCAAGGCGGCCGTGGACCTGCTGGGCAGCCAGATCGGAAAGAGCGGCGGGGCCTGGATCACGCAGGGCCTGATCCTGGTATCGGGGTCCATCACAGCCAGCCTCCCCCTCATCTCCGCCGTCTTCCTGGCAACGCTAACGACCTGGCTGGGCGCGGTGCGCAGCCTGGCCCGGCAGATCGCAGACTACGAGGCCGAGAAGCAGGCGCGGGAGGAGGCGGGGGACCCCTCGGCGGGCACCGGGGGGGAGCATGCGCGGACCACCCCGCCGCCTGGCCCGCAGCAACCGAGTCTGCCGCCCGGCAACGGCGCACATGCAGACGCGCCGACCGCCCGCAGGCCCCTGGCGGCGTGAGGGGAGGACTGTTGCTGGTCCCTCGCTCCTGGATCCGACCTGACACTGGACCCTGGGAACCCATTGGGGCCCCCCTTGCTCGGTGGTCCACCTTCTCCCACTTTTAGCGCGCCTGCTCTGCTGAAGCAGGGGCTGCTGCTGCTGCCGAGCTCCTTGCGTAGAATCGCTTGTGCACTTGCAACTGAGCCTGCGAACGAACCCTCTCATGCTCACCAAGATTTGTCTGACATCCCTTGTCAAAGAGCGAGAGAGTGTGCACACTAGCATGGCAGGGAGGTCATGGCAGTGCATGGAAGGGGACATAGAAACTAGAAGGGCTCAACTGCATTACACCTCAGCACACAGCAGTAGACAGGCTGGACATATCTCATCTGTTCTACTCGTATGGGGGATCCTAGCAAAGTACGTCAGGCACACTCACCGCCGCCTCAGTCACAGAAATACCGGTCGCCAAACTCGCCGACGCCGGGGATAACCCGGTACGCCTCCAAGCCCTCGTCAATCTCGCTGGTGATCAGCTTGAGTTTCGGGAAAGCGCGGCAGACGCGGTGCACAGCCTCTGGCGCGGCGATGAGCGACAGGAACAGAATGTGGTCCTCCTGTACCCCCTTGTTCAGCAGTACCTGTCAGAAGGAGGCACGGGCTTGGTGGCTCACCGGGGCCTTTCGAGCACTGTGGCCCCGATGCATCATGCAGTTGCGTGTCATGGGGCGGCAGGCCAGCCACGGCACAGACATTCGCCGGAATAACCATCATAAACTGCGACTTCGCAGCTTCCCTGTTCCCAACCCCTCAAGCTCCCAACCCCTTAAGCTCCCAACCCCTTGAGCTCCCAACCCCTTAAGCTTCCAACCCCACCTGAACGGCCTTCACCGCAGTCTCTCCCGTTCCCACGATGGGATCCATGAGCAGCACATAGCGATCCGCAATGTCTGCGGGAAGCTTCTCGTAGATGGTGTCCTGCTGCAGCACATGGTCACCCACCCTGGAAGGCGCAGAGGGTTGGCGAGGTGGGGTCCGCATGAATGCGGCAGCCTGGGAGCCCTAAACTTATCTCAGCAGGCTCGAGGAATTACTGCACGGCGGATGGCTGCCCCAACACACATCCCTCTCTACCTGTGGATGAGGATCTTGCCGATCTTGATGCCCTTGCAGCAGGCGCGCAGCGCCGGCTCCATGCTCTCCCCCGATCGGATGATGGAAACGCCGCACAACCGCTTGGCAAAGTCCACGCCCACGTAGGGGTGGCCGGTGGGGGTGATCACCGTCTTCTCCGCAAAGGGGAGGTGGCCCAGCCCCGCCTCCACCACCTGGGAACAAAGCAAGGGCAAAGGAGGGATTCAGCATGAGTATAGGCACTTTTGGGGTCAGGGCAACACGACTCTCAGAGCCGGGGGTGCGGGTAAGGCTCCTGTGGCTATGCATCTTGTGCATTCCAATGCACCCCCTGCCCTGGCGTGCATGGGCTGGGGCTGAGACACCCATCAGTGGAAGATCGAACCGCGCCACCCCACCCACCAGTCGTAGTAGGCGATCCGAGTAAAAGGCAAAGTCTGCGGTGGAAGTTTCGCGATCGCGGATGATAGTGTGCATCCCACGGATCTGCGATGGAGTGGTGGACGTTAGGAGGGAGCTGGCTTGGGAAACTGCACGACCTGAAAACTTGGAGGGTGGTACACAATCTCCCCACAGCCTTCCTTACCTCTTCATCTCATCACCCCTCTTCCCCCCTCCCCCCACACAACCCCACCTGGTATGTGCTGGGGATGAGCTCCAGGTTGGTGTACACCCTCCTCAGGTCGTGCTGCTGCAGCTTGGTTCGAATGTGCTCCGTGATAAGGTGGATGGCGACCGAGTTGCCTTCCCTGCGGACAGGCCGGCAGGCGATGGGGATGGATGAAGCCGGCATAGCCCAGCAGAGGGTTGATGGTGCGCGATTTCTGTCTTGCCCTTCTCCCGAGGCCGCGGCGGCCGCCCCTGCAGCCAGAAAACACGCCCCCACCCTGCGCAGTGCCAAGGCAGCTGGTCCGCACCCTGTCCAGGGGACTATGATGTCGGCGTGCTTCCGGCTGGGCGCCACAAACTGCTGGAAGGCTGGCTTGACGAAGCGGGTGTACTGGTGCAGCACGCCCGCCACGTCCCGGCCCCGACAGCTAATGTCGCGCTGGATCCTGCAGGCGGCGAGGGTGTTCTGGGGAGCTTGCCCACCCGCAGACATGAGGAGGGCAGGGGGGGAATCCCAGCAGCAGCAAGTCTGTTTCCTGAGAAGCTTCCCGCCCCCGGCCTCCCAACCCCCCCCCACAACCTCAGCCACCTGCGAGCCAAACGGACGTCATCGTCGGTGTCCACAAAGATCTTCATGTTGAGCAAGCCCCGCACCCCCTCCATGTGCAGCACCAGGATGCCCTCAATGATGATCACGTCGGCGGGGGGGACTCGTCGCGGCGTCTCGGTGCGTCGATGCCTGGTGAAGTCGTACTCTGGCACGTCCACCACCTTCATCGCCTGCGTTCGCAGAGCAAGCACACCCACTCAATCAGAGGGCTGGGAGCATGGCGTCGCAACATTTGGACTCGCCCTTGGACGCGTGTGGGGCGCATGCATTCCAACAGTCTCAGACCTCAACTGCCCACCCCTACTCGCCTTGAGATCCCTGAGGCACTCCACGATCGCAGGCTCATCGAATGCCGTGGGATGGTCAAAGTCGTGGTCTGCGCCGTGCTCGTCCGGAAGCCGGTCAGTCCACATGCTCAGACAGGGAAGTTTTGCTGTCCAACCACAGGAGCGATCAGCAGCCCCCGCCCCACCACAGTGGCCCCACACTCACCCCCAGCATTTGCACTCTGCTCCGGTGTCAGGCCACAGTAAAAGGAGTCTTGTGAGAGCATCACTACACACTGGTCTGTGGGGGGCAGGGCACACACAGGCGTGATGGCGATGGGCTGCGGAGCGAGGGCGCACGCCGACGGCATGGACCCAGGGATGCTGAGGGTGCATGCCCGCCCGCTCCCCAGTCCAAGCCACTCCCCATGCCCACCATGGAGGTTCTGCATGATGAGATCACACACGGTCGTCTTCCCGCTGGCAGTTCCACCCGCCACTCCGATGATGAAGGGCTCTGCGCGCCGGGACACGCGGCTGCGGGAGCGATGGGGCCGGGGCAAGCCCGAGCCAGGGGACAGCTCGTCAGTAGCGGAGGTGGGGCTGATGCACTGATCGAGGCCATCCAGTGCGGGACAGGAGGCTGAGAAGGCCGACACTGTGTGGTTTGGGTCCGTCATGGGGCCTGGACGGGGGTAATTTCCTTTGCCAAGACACTGTGCTTCCGCTCACTGCTCGTCTCTCTGCATGAAACCCTGCGCCTTGATCTCACGGCGCCAACGCCTAGACAGGACCCGATCTCGTCATTGTGCTGACATGAATGCATACTGCTTAGCGCAATGGTATAGGGTCCCAAACGTATTGCTTCAGGGGGTGGCCCGGGTGTCGTGGTCTGCATGTGTCGTGGCCGGAGGGTGATGTGATTCCGCGCCACGTCCGGTTCGCGCACTTCCCCTTTCAAGGGCGCATCATGGGCTGGAGATTCACACGCATCATCATCACATGGCATTTCCGAAGGAGGTATGCGGTGCATCCTCGTATCACGATGACCTGGTGCAGCGACCAGGAGAACAAGCTTCAGGGGTTCTGTGCCGCCGCCTGCCCGCGCCTCAATCACAGAAGTAGCGGTCGCCAAACTCGCCAACACCTGAGGGGAGAGGGATCTCAGGTGCGGGCTGCATCAGGGTGGAAGTTGCACTTTTCGGCAGCCACAACCCTCAAGACCTCCAGAGCAACAACATCCCAGCATGCGGCACCCCCCACCCACCCACTCGACGACGCACTCACCTGGGATCACGGCGAAGGCCTCCAGCCCCTCGTCGATCTCGCTGGTCACCAGCTTGAGGCGGGGGAAGGCGCGGCAGATGCGATGCACGCCCTCTGGCGCGGCCACCAGGTTGAGGAACAGGATGCGCCCCTCATCAACGCCTTTGTCCAGCAACACCTGGATGGCGCGCTGGGCAGAGTACCCGGACGCTAGGATGGGGTCCATCAGCAGCACATAGCGCTCGGCGATGTCGGTGGGCAGCTTCTCGTACACGATCTCGCGCTCCACCGCCGCCCGCACCCCAAGCTCGCTGTCGGCAGAGTGGCGCGGCGGCGCCGGGCCGGCGGGGGAGGGGGGGTCGATGCAGGAGAGAGACGCGACGGGCGCGGCGGGCGAGCTGCGCCCGGCGGGTCCGGCGGGCACGGCCGCCGATCCCTCCCCCGCCGCCCCCAGGTCGGGGCTGGAGGCGCTGGAGCGGTGGGCGAAGCCGGCGCCGGCCGAGGCGCGGCGCGGCACCGCCGACCACGTCTTCTCGCGGTGCACCAGGATCTTGCCGATCTTGATGCCCTTGCAGCAGGCGCGCAGCGCGGGCTCCATGCTCTCCCCCGACCGGATGATGGATACGCCGCACAGCTTCTTGGCAAAGTCCACGCCGACGTAGGGGTGGCCGGTGGGGGTGATCACCGTCATCTCCTGGAAGGGAAGGTGGCCCAGCCCTGCCTCCACCACCTGGGAGGGAGGTGAGGGTGGGTTGGGCCGGGGGGAGCATGAGGGTATGATATGCGGGCTAGAGTGGAGGCTGTGCTGGCTGGTGAGAGAGAGGCGCAGCTGCCTGGAGCAGAGTGCACGTCCTCGAATCATTGAGCCAGAGGGCTGGACGGCTGAGGAGGTTCCAGGCAGGGGAGAAAGTGCAGCAACAAAGGTCCGAGCAGGCAGCGGCACATTATTTGAGCACCCTTCCTGCTGCTCCTGCCTCAGGCAAACACACGACCTGGCCTCACCAGACGCAGGAGGCGGTCAGCGTAGAATACAAAGTCTGCCTTGGATGTCCTCACATCCCTGATGATGGTGTGCATGCCACGGATCTGCAGTGGGGGAGGTTTCGGTGCTTTGTAAGAGGAACTGCAACGTGCAGCCAGGAGGTAGCGCGAACCGCACAAAACACCGCCCCATCAGTCCTGGCCAGTCATGGCTCATCAAGTTTGCAGGCAGATACTCATCAGATTCAGGAACCAAGCAAGTCCAGGCACCTGCCAACCTCCAGTCAGCTGCTTAGACACCATGCCAACCCCCCCCCCAACTCTCTGAGCATCCCATCTCCCTCTCCACCCACCCACCTGGTAGTTGCTGGGGATGATCTCTAGGTTGGTGTAGATCCGTCTGAGATCATGCTGCTGTAGCTTCATGCGGATGTGCTCTGTGATGAGGTCGATGGCCACTGCATTGTCCCCCCGTGCCCAGGGAATGATGACATCAGCATGCTTCCGGGAGGGGGCCACGTAGGTGTCAAAGGCGGGCTTCACAAACTTTGTGTACTGCTCGATCACACCCGCCACGTCACGCCCCCTGTCTGCGACATCGCGCTGGATCCTGCAGCGGTTGGGTTTGAGGAATGGATTGCAAATATCAAGCCCAACCCTTCTTGAAGATGGTAGCATGGTCTCGACCTTCGGCGGGGAACGAAAGAGCTCCACATGCGATGCCTTTCCACACCCCTCCCATGCACCCCCCACTCCGTCAATCTTGCTCCTGCCTCCCAGCTCCCACTTTAAATCCCCCCCCCCCGTTGCCCCACCTGCGAGCCAGCCGGACGTCGTCATCGGTGTCGACGTAGATCTTCATGTTGAGCATGCCGCGGATGCTGGCAATGTGCAGCACCAGGATGCCTTCGATGATGACCACGTCAGCAGGCAGCACGCGCCGCGTGCGATCGCTGCGAGTATGAGTGTTGAAGTCGTACTCCGGGACCTCGAAGGACCTCTGAGCCTGAGCAAGGTTGGATCACCAGCGGAGGGATGCATGGGTGAAGGGCACAGACCTTCAGGTGTTCGGGACTCAACATTGTGGTCACTCCTGCTATCCCCACCATGACCGCACCTTGAGCGCTGTCAGGCAGTCGATGATGGTCTCCTCGTCAAAGGCCTCTGGCACGTCAAAGTTGTACTCTGCACCGTGGGCCCAGGGTGGGAGTTGGAGCATGGCATGGCAGGCAGAGGGGCACTAGCCAGTATCTGCTGCATGTAAAGTTCACGCTCACATGCAGGTCCATGCCTAGAAGTTATCCTCCAATCACTCACCCTGGACATTCTCCAGCTCCTTGGGTGTCAAGGCTCGGTAGAAGGAATCCTACGAGGGAATTTCACTGTTAGTGGACTACATCCCTACCCATCTGCACATGCTGGAACGCAAAATTGAGATGTGAGCCTTCAGTGTCGCTGCCTCGTTGCTATTACCCGCTCCCCAAGCCAAACACGCACCTGGGCCAGCATAACTACGCTCTGCTCCTGCAGGCGCTGAATGATGAGGTCACAAACAGTGGTTTTGCCACTGGCTGCGTTTGGAAAGGGACGAAATGGGAACGTGGATGGGGGGTGGCCGGATGAATGAAGGGAGAAGTCGTTGGGCAGCTTAGCCCCCTCACCGGTGCCGGGGCCTGCCCATGCCCCTCTCCGCCATACCTGTGCCGCCCGCCACACCAATGAAGAAGGGCTCCTGCCTCTGAGTCCATCGCTTGCGATGAGGACTGCCCAGATTACTGTCTTGCCGACCCAGCGAGCTGTTCGGCGCCGGCATGCCTCCACACGACAGCAGGCTAGTGCAGTCCTCCTCTTCCACCTCGAGCCTCCAGGATGCCCGGCTCAGACGCTCTCAAAGAAACTGATACACCGCAACGCGCCGATTTAGATTGCCGCGCACGCTCTTCAGGCTGTTGCCTTCGCCATGCTAAGGCATTGAGCGCTCTCTCCGGGCGCGCTCGCTCCCTCCCTCGAGTAGTGGCCGGGCAGCCCACTGGCTAGCCAGCTTCCAACAACAAAACCAGTGTACACTCATCTCCATCATTTCTACCCATCTCTGATCGCCAATCTGCATCAGCTCTTTGATCTACATGACGAGTGACCCAGCGCATTCTTCCAGGCACCACCCCTTGCGGTCATGGCAGGTGGCGATCGTACGGCCGGCCGCTGCCCAGCTGCTTCCTCTCCTCGTTTTCGGCCTTGACCTGGGCCAGGGTCTCATCCAGGTAGAAGTTGAAGGGTGTCTGCTGCTCCTGGATCTCGTGCGGCAGCTCACTGTGCTTCATCGACATGTCCATGCCACGCTTCAACCGCTGGTTGCGGGCATGCACCTCATCGGGGGAGAGGCGGCGCAGAGCCTCGGCGGTGTCCTGAAGGTCGCAGGGCATGCCGGAGAGGATGGTGAGGACGAGCGCAGGCACTGGAACACCAGTGCGGGCATGCAGGAGATAGAGGGGTTGGGACTTTTGAGTGTCCTCCTCACAGCCTAAAACCCAGACCCTAACCGATCACACAGACACCAATGAGCCTTCACACATCCGCCAACCTCTGATCACTCACCAAGTCGAACTCAGGGTCGTACAGGTCCTCGTACCGCAGTCCCACCTTCCGCAACTCGTTGCCAACAGCCGCCTGGTAGGCGGGGGCGAGCCTCGCAACCAGAGGGTCAAACAGCTTTGCGATGGCTCCCTGGAGTGGGTACTTCATGGGGCAGAGGTGAAGGGCTCGGCATTCCAGGAGGGCCAATGGTACGCATCAACATCCTCGTAGACACTCTTCACTCTGAGAAAACTATGAAAGGTTCATGGAGACTGCAGCACCACCTTACCTTGGCAGCCATGCTGATTCAGTCTCCGAGACACCCGCCTGTGAGAGACAGCCCTGCGCAAAGATGGTCATGGAGCACTCAAGTACCGAGCATATGCTCACAGCACACCAATCAACGCGCATGCGGACAAGGATCGTGGGGCGTCGGAAAACTTTGAAGACATTGAGACTGGGGTCACGGGCGCGAGCCTCGCTCAAGATGAGTGTCGTCATTCACCCAAGCACAGAAGCATAGCCAAGATGATAAACCACAAGGAAATACGGCAAGACTGCCCACGAACTCAGGGTCGGCAACGCACCTGCTGGGAAGAGTGAGCTCACAGCCTGTCACCCGGGATGTTCTGCGCCCCGGCAGCCGTTCGCGTATCCGACAGCCTCAATATCACTCGGGCTTTGGAGCAGGAGACTGGCTAGGGTATGCTCGGTGCCAGGGTCCTCGTCAGGCCCGGGCCTCGTCGTGCGAGTGTCGCAGTACGGGGGTTGGATGGCGGGAAAGGTTGAGTCATGCCGGGTAGTTCTGGGCGCGGGTAGGTCAATTTACAACCCGGGGATAGGTTTGGGGCAATGAGCAAACTTTCAACAGCTGCTGGTGGCAAGAGGGACCTTGCGTAGGCGCCTGTGTAAAGGAACAGAGGCCAGGCCTCACGGCTGGGGCAGGAGCGGCTCCCTCGCGGCATGCCGCCCCTCCGCCAGCGCCATCAGGCGGCCCATGACCGCGCGCGCATCGGCGCCGCGGTCCACCCAGACCGCGGGCGTGCCGCACGCGCCGTAGGGCTTCAGCTGGACGTACTCGGGCGCGTGCTCCGCCAGGGCCCGGATCCCCGCCTCCAGCTCAGCGTCCGTCCCGGCGCCCGCGCCGCCGCGCAGCTTGGCCAGCACTGCTTCGCGCGTCAGCGCGCGCGGCCCGCCGTGCCAAACACGCGCTGGAGGCGGCTGAAGGTCCTGGGCAGCGCGGCCAGAACGGCAGAGGCCTCGCGCGCCGCCACCGCCTCGGTGCCGCTCAGCCGCCGCCGCGCGTCCTCGTTCCGGGACAGGCGGCGCAGCGTGCTCAGGCTCACCACGCCTTCGCTGGACCGGCGTCGCAGCGCGGCCGGTATGGAGGACAGCAGCGCCGCGTCGGCGGCGGAGGGGCGGGGCGGGGCGGCGGGGGTGCCGTCGCCACGCCTCTCGGCGGCGGCCAGGGCCGCGTCAAAGTCGTCGGCAGCCAGGATGCCGCCGGCCAGGGGCTCGAAGTCCGAGTCCCCGGGGAGCAGGGGCTCCAGGGCGCCGGCGTCGGGTCGGGCCGGGCGCGTCGCGCCGCGGGACCCCTCCCCACCCGCCGCGCTCGCCGCGCCCTGGACCTCGGCATGCAGGCGGTCCAGCGCCGAAGCGCCGGCGTCGGCGGCCAGGCTGAAGGACAGCCTGCGCTGGCGGACGGCCTGCGGCTGCCGGGCTGAGGCAGGATACACTGGCGGCCTGCCTGCGAGGGGATGAGGGGAGGTATGTGCAGGCTCAGTAGGCTGGAGACGGACGTGGTGGGCACTTACTTTGGACAAGGCTGGTCCGAGGGGCTGTTTGACACGTCAGAAAGTGTCTCCAGCAGCCCTGCCCCCAACCCAGGAACCATTCTCCCCTTCCTCCTCACTGCACTGAGCCTACACCCAGCTTCGACGCCGCAGCAATCCCTCCAATCTCCCCCTGCTCCATTTCTCACCAGAGGTGGAGGGCATGGCCCTGCTGCCCAGCAGGCGCTGCTGCAGGGCGCTCTCCGGGGTCTCGCAGGGGGCCGCCGCCCGGCCCCGCGCCGAAGGCGTGGCGGGGAGCGAGTCGGGGCGCGGTGGCAGGTCGGCCAGCGGCACCTCCGGCACGGCCTCGGGGTAGGGCGGGAGGAAGTCGTGGCAGGGCGGGACGACGCGCCCCGCCCGCGCCCGCAGCGCCTCGCCCTCCTCGGCCCGCCCCGCCTCCTCCGCCAGCATGGCCCGCTGGTGCAGGTGCTCGGCGTAGGAGTCCAGGAGGTGCCGGCTCAGGGCGCCCTGCAGCGCCTCCCGGTCGTGCTCCAGCGCCGCAGCCGGGCCCCGGCGCGGGCTGCAGGCGCCGCCGTGGGGCGACGGCGCGGCCTCCATGCCGGGCGGCCGGGGCCGCAGCGCGATCATCAGCTGGGGCTCGGTGCGGGTGGAGTGGGGGGCGACGGGGAGTGGGACCCAGTCGCTGGTCAGGATGCCGGGGAGCAGGTGCTGCAGCTGGGCTAGGTGATCCGTCTGCAGCGGGTGGGTGGGGAGGGGGTGTGGTGGGCGGGGGATGAGGGGTGGAGGCTGATGAACAGATTCGAGGAGGGGGTCCTTGTGCGGCAAGACCATGTGCGAGAGTACCTCTCCCACACAAGCACGTAGATGCTCCTGGACTGGACGCCCCATACCCGCACCGTGAAACGCCGGCTGCAGGCTTCCTCCACAGCGGGGCGGATGGTCTGGAAGGTGGTGCGAGCCCCCCGAGCCTTCATCATGCCGTGCACCGTCTGGACGGCCACTGCGGGATGTGAAGATCGGGGGTTGATGTTCAAGGATGATCCTTGGAAAGGCACAGATGTGCAGATGTGAGAGTTGCAGTGCCATCGACGGAGAGCGGAGGTCCAGGACAAGGAATACCTGCCTCGCGGGCCACAGCCACTTCCTGGTCATCCCCCCACGTCCCAAACCCTCACCAAACATGTCCTTGTAGACAGCCAGCTTCTTTGGGAGAGGCTGCTGCAGGGATCCAGGGTCCGCCCCCCGCTTGCGTGGGGACTTGCCCTTTGTGGGCTCGGGGCTGGGAGACTGGGGCGATGGAGCCACCCCCTCATCACCCCGTGGGGAGGGACTGGGTGCCTTGTACTCCACACCGGCTGCCGCCAAGAGGGCTAGGCCGCGGCGTGCTCCTGAGGTGATGAGTATGGGCCGAGGTGGGGGTGAGAGGACAGGGGAGGTGGGGGGTTGTGTGGGAGCCCGACCAACGGATGCGACGCAGCAGCTCCCTCACGAACCTCGTCGAATGGGTGTCTTGGTCTTCCCCACATGCACAGGACTGGCGACTGGACTGAGACAGGGTTTGGGCTGCTTTGAGGCAGGGACGTCGCCGATGGCAGCGACGTCCAGGGCTGTGGGTCGAGCCTTCCGTTTCCGATAAAAGCTCGACACTGTGGGCCCCCCCTCCCCATTGGATTGACGGCGTGTGGCCGTCATACCAAGCTCTGATTGAGCAGTCTCTGTGCAGGGTCCAGCACCGTCTGGCGATGTAGGGTCGAACCTGGCTACAAGTACTCTTGCCGAATCACGGAGCTTGTCCGGGACGGGCTCCCGCCACGGAATTTGAATTCGAAGCCTGCGCTCGCGCCTTCCAGCTTAAGTGAGGGTTTCTTGATAACCCTGACACATAATGAATTGCTTCTACTGCGCCGTAATTTCGAATTTTTAACATTTCAATGGATACAAAATATTAGCCCCGCCTATCAGTTGTTTGCTTTGACGACTCCACTTTCCACCAGGTATGGTACCTCGGCCGCAAGCCAAGGCGCCAGACCCAGGCACAGAGCATGTGCAACGCCGAAATGAGGACTACGGTAGGGATTGTGGTGTAAAATGTTTATCGACATTACAATAGGAGGTAAGAGAGTAGGAGATTGTCAGGCTTCAAACAGAAACAATCATACATCAGTACCCAGAGCATGTGCTGCATCCACCCATGCCTCCCCACCTGTTCTTGGCCCATAAGGGCTTGAAGTGGATGGTGAGGCAGATCTTCCCCCCTCGGTACATCTTTGCTGTTTTGCCGTCAAGTTCTGGGAGCTCTATCTCAGGCGCGGTCGTCGGATAGGTGGCTGGGATGTCAAACTGTGGTGTGAGATGAGGTGTATGGGGGGGAGTGGCAGGAAGGTACCGGATTATGCAAGGAATGGGGGATGCCACGATGAGCAAGCCTTCCATGGTAACATACCGCAAGGGGCAGTACAGGTCGCCAGCATGGCTGTCTCCCATCTCTTCCTCGGCACCTGGAAGTTGAACTCATACTTGACCAGCTCGTGGATGTACCAGCACTTTCCCTGCCAGTGGGTGCCCTCCTTGTTCGTGGGCTTGATGGTGAACCAGTCCAGGTCACCTCGTTTGTTGATCTCGATGTACTTGATGAGGGCTTGAATCTCCTGTGTGAGCGTGAGGATGTTGGACAGGATCTCAAGAGGTACCTACTCCACTCTCTTGGGAACTTTCCTCGAGCACACCGAATTCAAACTCAATGTACCTCCTTGAGTCGGGCTTGCCATGCATCCTTATCGCGTGGCCCGGCTTTGACTGTGAGCAGGGGGATCTTCTGCACAGTTGCCCGAGTGGATGGATCCCAAGACTCTGCCATGCTCGGCGGGTGATTAAAAGTCTCAAGACTGTAATAACTTGGCAGCTATGAAGTACGATTGATATATACTGAGTGGGTGGCAACGGAATGGAAGCAGGAGTGGTCCACGCGGTCGGCAAGCTCTGTGAGACACTAGCCACTATGCCACCCGGCGAATCAGGCTCTGTATGGATCACGTCACTTTTCAAGTTAGATGTGTTTCGGTGGCTAGTTGCCTATATACTGCAAGGTGGTATGCCAACGTTGTATCTCTCGCGCGCTCACCGTTCACCAACCAAGCTCATGTGATCGAACTTCATCCATCGGAGGAACACATCCGGTCATGCGCGCAGCCTTACAATGGGCCGTGCGCGTCAAATGTACATCTAGGCGCTCTAAGGAGTTTCGATGTGCGCTGCAGCCTACAAGGCATGCTTCTCAGCGGGATGCATGTCACATGCGCATGGTTGGACATGGACCGGCCTAAATCCCACTCGCCGCGGTCTGGCAGATCTGAGCGCGTGCCGGGCTGGGAAGAGCTCGCCTGAGACACGACAGAAGCTTGAATTGACCATCAGGTGGGGTCCCACTGCACCGACACAGTGCTGGTGGAAACTGTACACCTGGAGAACCTGAACCTACCAGCCGTCACAACTTTGCAGGGATTTGCAGGGACCCGAGGAGCTGCAAGCGGTTGCGCTCCTGCGCGCTCATGCCTTTTACACTTACCCTCCAGAGAGGGCCTTTGCCGGGCAGGTGTGAGGCTGTGGGAGCTTTTGAGGTGGATTCTCCAACGCATCAGCACATATGCCTCTGACCCCCCACCAGCATCCCCACCCTGCAGTTGCACCAGCTGATGAAGGTGGAGGAGGAGGTCCGAGAACTTGGGCATGCGATAGCATCCTTCCCACTGGACCAGGCCGGCCTCGATCTTCGAATGACCAGCCTTGTGGCTCTGGCTGACGCCAGCCGGCACGCTGACCTGGACCCGGGCTACCACATCCCCAGCAAGGACGGAGTGGTGCTGTCAACACTAGATCTCTACATTGCATCGGCCCTTCCTGGGGAGTACCTCATTGGTGAGGAGGACAGCAGAAGGGAAGCATCCCTGATTTTAGGGGGGAAGACGATGCCCCTGGGAGCAGTACCGGAGTCCTGCCTGTGTCGCTGTGGTACAATGTGCAGCTCGGTCCAGCATGCACCCACCTTCACTTCCAGTCAAGATGCTACTCCTGGGACGGAGCGTGCCCCTCCCTCAATTCCCGCAGGCCGCACCAGGAATGCAGCATACCTTGCAAACCTGGCGACAGCCGAGGGGGTGAAGAGGCGAGGCATCGGGCGCAGCCTGGTGAGCGCTGCGAGGCAGCTGGCGCGGGAGCATGGCGTGGATGCCCTGTACGTGCACACCCTGGCGGTGAACACGGTGGCGCGCGACTTCTATGCCAGCTGCGGATTCGTGGTGGAGCGGGAAGAGAGCAGCAACACCGCGCATTACAGAGGAAAGTGCCTGGATGGGGTCGAGGGGAAGGGTCGCACCGTCCTCCTCCGGGACACCCAGTTGTAATGACAAGCCTATGGTTGGAGAAGGGAACATGATAGCCTCCGACACCTGTGGCCGCAGCATGGCACCGTTTCCAAAAATTCAACAGCGCGCCTTATGGTCATGAGGCCACCTCGGCATCCCGACCACACAGCGCCTTGAACACCACCATTCTCTGTATCTCAATATGGAGGTCCGGCTCTCATGATGAGCGTCTTCGCCACCCCGATGGCCCTGTCGGATGCGAGGCGGGGCGTGCCCGAGTGTGCTCCCCTCGGGAGCTGTAGGCCGGCAAGGACCTCCTGTAGGCACATGCCGGCCCATCGAGTGCAGTCCTGGAAGCCTCAGCGCAGGGGATCGGTCATGAAATCCAAGGCCAAGGACTCGTTGGAATCCCTGCGCGATCAGGCTGCCAGGGATTACGAGCTGGGTGAGAGGGCGTGTGGTTGACAGGCATGTGTTTTGTTGTGCAATAGGAATGGCCACCATGCATAGCCGTGGAGCTTACACCTCGGCATGAAGCTGTTGGACACAGTCCCCCCCATCCATGACTTCCCATCTCGTGGCTACAGGGCGCCAAGCAGGGCGGGATGCAGATGACCTGGTAGCAGAGCAACTAGGCCTCTCCTCAAGCCGAGAGTTGTCGGGCGTGCAGGAGCGATACAAGGACAGGATCAAGGAGTCCCTGGAAAAGGTCAGGAGGAGAGAACGACTGCGTTGGGTCTGCTGCGAGCCTGTATGGTGCACCTGCTGTCCCATTGCAAGATGCCATTGTCCCAAGGCCAGCAGCTTATCCTTTCGCAACCCCCCCCCAATCACCAACCCCTTTAGAGGGCAAAGGAGCTGCAGAGCCAGCAGGCGCAGCGTGAAAGGGGCATGAAGCTGGGGAAGATTGCCTACGGCAGGGGACGCTACTCTGCAGCTGTCACCCTTTTCGAAGCCGCGCTGGAAGAGGAGGGCCCCTTCTCCCACCTGGGAGGAGACATCCAAATGTGGCTTGCTCTCTCCTACCAGGCAAGTTTATCTTGGGTGAAATGGTCACTCATCTCTAGAGCCTGCAAAGGGGATATACTGTGCCACCACAGTACAGTCTGGCTGTCAGGCTGCCTGTCGTACCTGGCCACAGCGGCCCCCTCTCATCTCTCCATGTCCTCCCAATCACTTTGCAGGCATGTGGGCGGGAGGCTGAGTGCATCGACGTGTACAAGCGCCTGGAGGAGTCGCACCCGCTCCCATCCACGCGGCGTCGGGCGGCCGACCTGCGCTACATCATGGAGGCCCCCAAGCTGCCCCTCAGCGACAAGGACAGGGTGCACATCCCTGTGCTGAAGAACATGGACGTGAACAGGGGCGTCCGGGCACCCACAAACCGGCCCAGGGCCCCGCCGACGACCGCGTCGAAGCGCGAGAAGACGTGGGACGAGCGGTTCTGGGAGACCTATGAACCGCCCCAATACCTGACCAACAAGTACGTCTGGTTTGCATCCAGCCTGCTGGCTGTGGCCGTGAGCATCTACGGCAACATGGCCCGGCATGGGCTGGGCAGGCTCAGCTTGTGATGCCCGTTGGAGGTGTACTTTGTGATAAGATGCATTTGAAGAACCGATGAGGGGTGATAGGTGTACCAATGTTCCTCTGTACATGTACATGCTAGTTACTGTTCAGATCAACTTCGGGAACACGATGCCCTTTGGTCCGGGGGCAGTACCAGAACGGTGTCGATGGCCACCTCGTCACCGCTGCGATGCCTTCGTGCATTCGACAATGCATTCCTGGAATCATGTCATGACAACAGACGACCCGAGAACAAGACCACACCACCAGATCACTATGCGGCAGGCAGTCGGTGCCCCCGTTGTTACACTGACCGGTGCGTGGATGCCGGCATGACCTCGCTGATCATTCCCTTTAGGATTCTGAAATGTCTTTTAATGCTCCGTTTTACCTACCATAGGTATCACCGGACCCCTGCGACGGGATTTGAGGGACATCGTGGAGCGGCTAGGCGGCACGTATTGTGGAGACTATCGAGCTGGACACACGACGCATTTGGTGTGTTGCGGGCTGCTCATGGGCTCCTTCCTCACCGAAAAGCTTCAAGCTGCCCAGCAGTCTGCCAGTACCGCGATCGTGGACGCGCAGTGGCTGAGAGAGAGCGACGCCTGCGGGAGATTCGTGCCTTGTGCCCCCTACCAGCGTCAGTACGCCGCCTCGGTAGAGGACAGCAACTCCACCTCGGAGCGTCCATGGTCGGTAGAGAAGCCACGCTGTGAACCTCCCGCTGCAGCCTCTCCGAGACTGCAGGACGTCTGCGATCTCCTATTCGTCGCTGGGCAGTCCCATGCACACGGTAGGTGCGCATGTTGGCAAGTCTTAGGCGGTCCACAGTATTTTGATCACAGCCAATCATATATACAAAACCTCTCTAGCAGGCACCATGGACGACGATCCACGAGATAGCTTGAGCGCATTTGGCAAGCTCTCCCTCAGCCCCACCCTGCTGGGTCAACATGAAGAGCAGGGGCAACCCTGGACACCTCCAGTCAGCCTGCCTGCCCATAATGGTGATGAGGCACCAGCGGCAGACAAACACGTCACAAGAAGTCCCATGGACCCTGAAGCACAGGGAGCCTCATCTTTTGCTGCCAACGATGGTGACCTGTGCCCCTCCCCGGTCGCACGTGCTGTCCCAGGCTCGCGCATTGAGCTGCAGGGTCAGTATGCCAGGCACAGGGATGGGAAGAATGCGATGCTGGCGGCCATCCAACAGTACCATGGCGTTGCCACCATGGCTGATGCAAGGTTCTGGCGTGGGGCCGGAATCACTGCACCCAGTGGAGCTACCTGCAGGGTTCGAACAGGTATGATGGCGGAAAGGGAGGGGCGGGAGGAGCAGAATTCGTACCACCATTCCCCGATAATGTCTGGCCTCTGACCCCTTCTGGCCCCCACACAACCTTGTGCTGCAGGTGACCTCACTCACGGGGCCACCATGCTCTACGATGTCAGCCCTGGAGGGAGCTTTCAGTATGCCAATGTCTTGGTGAGTGAAGTGGAGTCTGTGCACATCATCAGGGCTCTCCCCATCAGCACTGATTTGCCGTAGAGGTCAGGGTGTGCATGCACGATGCCCAGAGCCTGGCATGAATCCACATAAACAACTGCTCACCATTCTTATCATCGTCCCCAGGTTCACTCCATCTACCAGCTGGCACCGGATGGCGAGGTGTGGATGCTGCACAAGTACCTCTTCACTCGTCAGGACCTCCAAGAACGCACGACCTGGCGAAAGTTCCTCCAAGTGAGTGTGTGAAATGGCAATGTGAGGCAGGTCGTTTTATATGGACATACATGAGGCTCTGCTCAAATGCACAGTGATGGTCTGAAGCTGGAGCATCGGGCTAGATTATCTGAACCCCCCTCCGATTCAAGGCTGAAAACATTTACCACACTCATGCAGAAGCACCAGGTGTCCGAGAACGAGTTGGTGATGTCCAGCGGGGACTACCACAGCCCCCTGGACCTTGTTCAGGGCACCTTCAAGCTGACCCTGGGAGGAGCCACACCCCTGCCCGCCAGCGCCACTGGCAGAAAGTTCTGTCGGTGGGCTCTTGACCCAAGCACGGGGAGGAGTGTCTCCCTGAAAGCTGTGCTTGTCAGGGATTCCACAAGCCGAGGCTAATTGTGTGTGACCAAAATCCATCCTGGCCACTAGTTCGCGCGCGAGCGCATCAATAGACAGAAAAGGTGCCAGGCTAAAGCATCAAGAGCAATCGTCGCGCCACATAAACCTTTGGTTGCGGTCCATGCCATGATCAGACACTCAACAGAGAAGTCGTCCCGATGAGACCATGCTCGGCCCAGGTCACGAGGGGTGTTGTCGCGACCCACCAGCCACGACTCCTGGCCGCTGCGGGTCAGAGCCCGTCGTGTCGCCGCGTGAGGTCAAGGAAATGCCTCAGCTCGCCTTCCGAAACGGTTACAGCTACGCAAGAGGCGCGCATGGTCTCGGAGTACAATGCGACCATGGCTGCCAAGATGGGCTGGTCCAGCACGCGCTCGGGCCTCAATCCCTTCGAGTATCATCCTGAACGAGGTGCGCGAGGATGTTGTTCTTCAGGATACTTCTCATTCAGCCAAGTGCGGGGTCTCGGGCGCCCTGTCACCTGGCATGTGGGTGCTCCGGCTTCCCATGGCCTGCCCCCCTTCCCACGGCAGGCATATACTACCACTACCTGACGTCAGACCTGCTCCTGGGCAGCCAACCGCGGTCGCCAGGGGATGTGGCCCACCTTGCAAAGGACGAGGGCGTGGATGCCATCCTCAACCTGCAGCAGGACCGTGACCTGAGGCACTGGGGCGTGGACCTGGCCTCGCTCAGGCACGCCGCCTCGGAGCATGGCGTGCAGTACATGCGGGCTCCTGCAGTCGACTTTGACCCAGGGAGCCTGCGTCACGCCCTGCCCACCGCGGTCGGCATGCTCCTGGAGGCCCTGAGCCAGGGTCGGCGGGTGTTCGTGCACTGCACCGCAGGCCTGGGTCGGGCTCCCGCTGCCTGCATCGCCGCCATCTACTGGGCGGGTCTGGGGGTCCTGCCGGCCCGAGACGGCCTTGTCCGTCTGGAGGATGCATACAAGTACGTCACAGACATTCGGCCTTGTGGTCCCAACCAAGTGCGGCGTGGGTGGGGGTTGCTTCCTTGGTGGAAGGGAGGCTGTGACGAGTCAAGGCTGGCGGAGTGAGCCCACCATGGCCTGAACACCGCATTCATAGGTTTACATGAGGAATGTGATGTTGCTCAGGGCTGCCTGGGAGGTATGGGTGTTTCCCGAATCACAGATCTGCATCCCTCCGACGCACCCATGTGCATTCTGCTGCAGGACGCCATTCGAGGGGCGACCGGGGACCTGCTGCTGGGCCACTCGGCAGGAGACCTCCAGCCCCGAGGTGCACAGGCTTTTGCCACTTTGAGCGTAGGAGATAGAGAAATAATCGTGGACAGGCTGCAGATGTAGTCGGCCGTGCCAGTCAGTCGTGCAGGGGCAAACTGCTCTGGTGTGATCTGTATATGCAAATGTTTCCTGCAATCAATGTTTGAGTGTCTGAGTACCCTGTGAGATGTCATGATGTGATTAGAACCCCCACCTGTAACTGGTATTTGAAGCGAGGCCATCCCCGTGTGTTTGACCCGGGTGCGCTCTACGATGTGATACTGATCCGCATGGAACCAGACCGGGGGATGTCGAGCTGGAAGGTTGCACGCGATACACCTCCCACCCCGAGTTATCTAATCGTTTGAGCCAGCCTAGATACCATGCAGGCCATTAGCTCCCTCACCCTCCGCCCATGCCTGGCCTTTCAGAGCACCAGGGCCTGCCCGGCAGGTCCTCGCCGGTTCTCTCGGGTGGTCAGAGCCGCTGCTGAGCCCAGGCAGCAGGTGAGCGCACGCGGCGATGATGGTGGTATCTGCTCGCTTGTATGCCGCCTCCAGGAGCGTTGAGGCGCTCTGGAATCGGAGCAAGGCGCTGGGGATCGGTCGGAGCCCCGACCATGAGTTGGGGCGCGCGCCTCTGCTGCTCCAGGCGTTCGTGGGCCTCGTATACCCGCCGAGAGCACGCCAGGCGCCTGCAGTTAGATTATGCAACGCAATTTCTCCTCCTCACGCGCGCAGGCCATCCAGCCCATCAATGGCGACCCCTACATCGGCATGCTGGAGACCCCCGTGACCTCCTCCCCGCTGGTGGCGGGCTTCCTCTCCAACCTCCCTGCCTACCGTATCGGGGTGTCCCCCCTGCAGCGCGGCGTGGAGATCGGTCTGACCCATGGCTTCTTCCTGGTCGGGCCCTTCATCAAGCTCGGACCCCTGCGCAACATCCCCGGCGTCGCAGAGCAGGCCGGGAGCCTCTCTGGAGCAGGCCTGGTCCTCATCCTCGCCGTCTGCCTGTCCATCTACGGCAAGTCCACCTTCCAGGGTGACGGCCCAGAGGTCGGGGTCAAGACGCTGTCAGGGCGCAGCATCAGCCGCGACCCCCTGCAGAGCGCCGATGGGTGAGTGGAAGATGCAGGGAGACGATCAAGGAAGGAGGGTTTGGGGGCGGGGCGGAGATCAGGCAGGTCGACGGCAAGGCGTGTACTCAATGCTGGGCTGTGCCAGCAGCAGGGACATGAATGGTGCCTGTTCCCACTTGTCTGCTAAGAGTCTGTGAATTCTGAGCCCTCCCCCTCCCTCCCCTCGTCACGTCATCTCCTCTCCCCCTCCTTGACCCTTGCAGGTGGGACAACTTCGCGGCCGGCTGGCTGGTGGGCGGTCTGTCTGGCGTCGGCTGGGCATACGTGTGCACCCAGATCCTCCCTTTCTACCGCTGAAGGGCGTGCCAGCGTCGTATGGGCTGCTGCACCGCATGCGCATTCCCTACCAATGAGAAGACGTCCCAGTTTCCGTGCACTGTGTACAAGTCAGGATCGGGGGCTGACCCCTTGTAGACAAAGCAATACCCGTTGAGTTCATGAAGGGCAGGAGTTGTTAAAGAGGGGCCTGGGGGCCCCTGCATCTTGGCAAAGGGGGTGTCTACACAGCCCAGGGGTTTTCGCACCGCGCCCCTCACGGCTCCCTCCACTCCCGCCCCGGGGCGCGGAACTCGCCGTCGACCCGCCCGCCCAGGCTTCCTGGATTATACCGAGCCATCATTCGCTGCTGAAACTCGGACCGCGGCTCCGACTCCCCCGACTCCCGCGCCGCCCAGCCGCCCAGCGCGGCGCGCAGGCGCGCCGCGCCGTCCCGCAGCCGCCGCGTCGTCGGCTCCAGCGCGCTGCGCACGCTGCGCCCCGCGTCCGCGCCCGGCTGGCCCAGCTCCATGGCCTGGGCCACGTAGGTCCCCGCCAGCGCCAGCGCGCCGAAGCCCAGCAGCGTGCCGTAGACCAGGGCCCGTAGGCCCGCCACGTAGGTCCTCCGCGCCACCTCCACCGCCTCGGGTGACAGCGCCCGCACGGGCGCCTCCGCCTGCCCCGCGCCGGAGCCCTGGGGGATGTTGAACCTGTCTCGGCCCAGGCTCAGACGCGGGATGTGGCCCAGGCCCGCGCCTGGCAAGGGCGATGGGGATGGCGAGCGCAGGATGTGAGGCTGTGGATCACACTCTGCAGACAGGCAGACAGCCACTGCCCTCTGCTGTTTCTGGATGTCACGCAGCTCAGGAAGGTCCGCTTGCAAATGGTGAATCACAAGATGCGACCTCATCCCTCGCTCTCACACCAGGAACCTCACCCGGCCCCGCTCCGGCCATGCGGAAGCGGTAGCGCTCCTCCGGCGTCAGCGGCGGCAGGGAGCCCTTTACGCGCCGGTGGAAAGCCTTCCTCTGGGCGGCGTGGGGGTCGTCGATGCGGGCCTGCTGCTGCAGAACCTCGGGCAGGACCTAGTGGGGGGGGGGGGGGGGGGGGATGATACGAGGGG